TCTTACTGACTGCTACTAGACATTCAGCTGTTTATTAAACTCAAATATGTCTGTTCATATGTTGCCGATCATCCAGTCAGACATTTGAACTTTCATTATTGCCACCATTTACAAGTTTTTCATGTCCGAGCATGGCTCATATTTTCTAATATTCGAAATAAATTACTCATATCACCGTTTTAAATACTCTTTCATTGTTCGTTCTACCTATTGCATCCTATCTGACATTATACTATTTGTACCCAAAAACCCATTAGGATAGCATCTTCGAAAGATATATTTCGAAATGTTTCGTTGTCTTCATGGTACTACATAACCACTTAGTATGCTCTACTGCTCATGATTTCAACACTACGATGTCTCTTTTCCCAGCCTGTGCTTCATCTGTGGTAAAATCACCTTTCTCCACTGCTGAAGAACCTTTCAAACGCCGTGACGCACACATCCTCATATTTTTTACTGTTCTCCATAAACTTCACATTGAGAACTCAAACTCAATGAAAAACAAAGGCTTTTTCCATCACTTCCGTGTCTTCCATACATACACGCGAAAACGATCTCATTGTTTACAGAAAAACAGTTCTTGGTCAGTAGACTCGTAATTTGCGTGAAAAAAAGCTTTTTTTGCCTTACAAATGACCATTTGAGCCGTGGAAATGATCATATGTGCCATGCAAATGGACATTTGTCCCATATAAATGGTCAATTCTGCCATAGAGATGGTCATTTGTGCCATAGAAATGGTCATTTGTATCATGGAAATGGTCATTTGTACCATAAAAAGGGTCCTTTTTGCCACGGAAATGGTCGTTTGTGCCCTAGAAATGGTCATTTTTGCCGCAGAAATGGTAGTTTGTGCCATAGATATGGTCAATTGTGCCATAAAAATGGTAATTTATGCCATAAAAATGGTCATTTGTGCCGCGGAAATGGTCATTTTTGCCATGGAAATGGTCATTTTTATCATAAAAATGGTCATTTGTGCCATGGAAATGGTCATTTGTGCCACAGAAATGGTCATTTGTGCCATAAAATTGGTCATTTGTGCGATGGAAATGGTCATTTGTGCCATGGAAATGGTCATTTGCGCCATAAAAAATGGCCATTTCTGCCATAAAAATGGTCATTTGTGCCATGGAAATGGTCATTTGTGCCATGAAAATGGTCATTTGTGCCATAAAAATGGTCACTTGTGCCAAACAAAATCGTCATTTGTGGCATAAAAATGGTCATCTGTGCTATAGAAATGGCCATTTGTGCCATAAAAATGGTCATTTGTGCCACAGAAATGGTCACTTGTGCCATAAAATGGTCATTTGTGTCATAGAAATGGCCGTTTGTGCCATAAAAATGGTCATTTGTGCCATAGAAATGGCCATTTGTGCCATAGAAATGGCCGTTTGTGCCATAAAAATGGTCACTTGTGCCAAACAAAATCGTCATTTGTGGCATAAAATGGTCATCTGTGCTATAGAAATGGCCATTTGTGCCATAAAAATGGTCATTTGTGCCACAGAAATGGTCACTTGTGCCATAAAAATGGTCATTTGTGTCATAGAAATGGCCGTTTGTGCCATAAAAATGGTCATTTGTGCCAAGTTCTTGTTACAGACAAACAGACAGACGGACATACAGACACACGTGAATTACGGTTTCTAGACCCTAGCCTTTCAGTCTAGGGAATAGCCTTTCAGTCTAGGGAAAAGACAATCGTTTCATTTAGTAACTGTCAGTAACGACTTCACAGTTTCAAAGTAAGCATGAAAATAAAACTGAAATAAGAAAATATGGTTGACGATTAATGCCCGAGTTACAATCCATAACGATAAATGGCTTGTCTAATCCGACTCGGTAGAAGATTCCTTATTGATCGGTTTAGATTTTGTTTTAGTTTTTGTATGTTTTTTTAAAGAAGTTAATCAATGTACAAAGTTAATGCAGAATTTGCAGACTTGTGAAGATTCCTCTTCACCGATAAATGCCAAGAAAGAGAAAGCTTATGAAAATAAATATTAAAAAGAGTTATCTTAGTGAAACAGAGCCATACGCCACTGATGTAGTGATTCATAGGTAGATATGACTAATGGAGGACTTGATTTCATTTTTACAAAAAGAGAAACGTTAATGATGATTCATATCGATCTACTGAGGGCGTCCAAGGACTGAGGAATAGGAATTTCTCCTCATTTCTCTCTCACTTCCATGAATGCTAAATTTAAAAGTTTATAACATTCACGAAATGTTTTGCTGTTAGAATCATTTTCACCAAGGAATCTGTGAACATGAATGTCTGAATATGAAAAGTGTTTCAGGAAAAGTATTACTTTGGCTTTCATGAATACGAGGACTATGAAAGGACTAATGATCAATTCTCGTTCCCCGTTGAATTGGCATAGAGACACTGATAGTTCCATTACAGATTAGACATTCCCATTTCTCAGTTCTTGAATATTGCTGATGAAAACTCTGGGGTGCATGCCCATAAAGACACTCTGTGCCTGACTAACGGCTGATGAAAGATCAACGAAGTAGCATGCCAAAATGTCTTTAACCATCTGTTAGCCGATCAAGGAACGGCTTGATCACTATTCTCGCTACAGATATAAAAAATATAGTAATAGAGAACATCTAACTTTTGCTAACTAGTATAGTTTTGATCAGACAAAAATATCAAATTCCCATATTTATTTTGTTTTCACTAATTTAGAGGCCGACATATACTGGAATACGTACAGTCGTATATCGATTTTTCTCTGTAAAGGAGTATATGTTGGCCGAGAGTGCTAAAATAACAACTGAAATATATAAACCTATCTTACCGTTACTGTAATTACTAAGACAACCTCATTGCCGAACATAATTCTGAGCGGAGCCTACCGACCATTTTCAAAGGGGAGAAAGAACAAAATAAAATACTGTATTTCACATCAACATACCATTAAAGTATGGAAGACACGATTCACTACGACAAACCTGCTGAGCATGCAAGCAACAATGTGGCGCCACCAATTCTTCGTATGACCGTCACTCTGTGCGACGATGATCTTAGTGAAGAAGCCAAAAAACAATTTGGTTACCACACTGAAATATTAAGTGCATTTCAATTGAATGCTCGCGTCATACTCGCTAACAATAGACTGTTGCCGATTGGCCGCCATCTATTCTGCATGAGACTAGAGCAGAATTACGCAAACTGCAAGCGCGTTCTCAACTATATAGCCACCCATGCAGAGTTGAAAAAGACAGAAAATTCGATGCGCCCTCCCCTTATCTTGTGTGGACTGGCTCGCACCGGTACAACACTCCTCTATAATTTACTCGCTTATGATGCAGCATGCCGGGCGCCGCTATTCACCGACATAGTGCAACCAATCCCACCACTCACTCGGTCGGATTCTTCCCAGCAGATGCAACGAAATACCGTCGCAAGCACATTCAGTATGATGTTCAATGCACTGAATTTGGCCGATTATGGACGACAGATTTACGCCTCTCATCCCTTCTATATGCACGAGGAAGATCTAATGATTCTGGAGCAAGCTGGTGTGGGCTCCCTTGATTTGGCGCTCGCACCTTATGACAACATAGAACTTGCCACATGGTTTTTTAACGATACAAACAAAGACTTCGCTTATGAGTACCACAAAACATGTCTACAGATGTTGAATAGTATCGATGCGCCTCAATCTCATTGGCTGTTGAAAGCTCCAGTCCACACATTTTTTCTGGACACGCTCCTACATCATTATCCTTCGGCTTCACTGATCATGAGTCATCGTCGGTTGGACGAGGTAGTGCCATCGAGTGCACGATTGATTGCTATTTTTAGCAGCGCCTATCTTGATAGCAATAGTGGCAGTGACATGGAGAACAAGCGCGTGGCTAGGGAGCGTCGCTTGCAAATGACGGATGCTGCGGTTCATCGTCTCATTAAATTTCGTCGCGCTCATCAACAAGTTCCTGTTTTCGACGTGCTCTATGATGACCTAATCGCACAGCCGATCGATACTGTCCGTCGCATCTACGAACATTTCGGATTCGAATGGTCAGAGGACTTCAGGCTGGCAATGGTAGAGTGGCTCCGTGAAAATCCTCAAGGCAAGCAAGGACGTAATACATACACACTTGACGATCTTGGATTAACGCGTGAATTAATTGAACAGCGCTACGAAGAGTACATCAGCATGTTTCTCAAATCTCGAGAACAATCGAAGACAGATTGTGACGTAAAGACAAATGCGAACTCAGAATTTCGGAACATTGATGCTGTGACTCATTCAACATAGAGAATATTGAACAAACGATCCGGTCTCAAATTGATTAAAGAAAACTTCGTTCATATATTAATATGTCTAGATAGGGGATGATGAAATAGCTGTAGCTTGTACAGTGAACTCATCTGATTGAGAACTTTGCACTAGGAAAATTCGCAATCAAAACTCATAAGCCAATTTTTCCGATGACCTGGGGAGACCGAAGCCTTTTCTTGAAAAAAATCGGTATCATTTCAGCTACTTACCAATGGAAATTTGGAAAAGCAAATCATTTTAGACTTTTTTATTATTTACTATTGCTCATCGAATGAACACAGGGTGTGAGTATGGGTGTGGGTATGGGTGTTAATGATTGAAATATGCACACTCTCCATCGATATCCACCCGTCCGTAGCCACAACGACACTTCACACACACACCCACACACCCTAAATTTCAATGAATTGATGTTGGATTTCCATTTTTAAAGATCTATCTCTATCTACTTTAATGTGATTATAATCGGAATCGGAATAAAAAGCAATCACGCATAATGCATCAAGACGAGCAAGTTTGTTCTGAATTGACATAGCTCCATGTATACTCTGTTCAAATAAAAATGATTTTCTTTCATTTTCAGTCCAACAACAGATATGTGCCAATGGAATTGATGAATAATAAAGTCTTATATTATTTTGATCATTTTCAATTGAAAAATTCTGAAGCTTTCGATATTCTTGTTCAATATTATTTTGGATTATTATTTTTTTTTCGTTCTTCACTTGTTAGATAAGATCCTTGAAAATTATCTTTAACTGTATCCATATATTGACCAGTTTCATGATTCATTGAACGTTTTCTTTTTTTCTCAAAAGCATCAAAAAAATAGGAATTTGTTAAAGTTAGTGTCCATAAAAGACTACTGCCAAAGTTTTCTAATTGTTGCATTCGAAGCCAAGGTAATAGGGCGATTGAGGCAGCTAAAAGAGATACCCCTCGTGCATGATACATTTGATAAAAATATTAAGCATTCAATTAGAATGTGACCAAAATAAAGATGTGGTCTGTTATTGGCTATAGAATCTTTGACACTGATCGTAATAAATTGTTCTTTCAATGATCGAATATAAAGATTCTGTAGATGTGAAGGAAAAGATGTTTATGGAATTAAAATAGGGTGTGGGTGTGAGTCTTCTTTGAACCCACACCCACACCCCACACCCTTTTTCTATTGAGGACGTGTGTTTTAAACTAAAACGCGACCTCAAAACATCGTTCGGACGTGGTGTTTTCCACACTTTCGTATGTCTTAATTTGTCCTGCTTCTCAACGCGTTTTTTCTTCTTGAAAAATAGCTCCTTCTTGCAGATGCTCTTGAACGCATAGTTTATAATGCATGTTGTTACTTAAGAGTCGAGAATTTTTCCACGGATGCGGTTGAATATGCTTTCTTCGATTTTTCTTTTGCAGAGCATGAGATTCTTCATAAAAAAAACTTCTGTGAATCCTTATATTCGTATTTTCAGTAAAAGCATCATTATTAATATTCAGAACCTATTAGGCTCAGTGAATTTGTTTTCACAAAATCTTCTAACGTCTAAAAAGATTAAATAAAAAAAGATTAATTTCAAGAAATTAATTTAGAAAAATAAAAATTTTGTGTAAAAGAATTTAAATTTATTATAAAACGAAATTCTCGCAATTTAATTTAGTTTTGAATTTAACTTGACTTGAATTTAAAGTTAAAATAAACAAAGTTCAAAGCTAATTCTTCTATTCAATATATATAGGTATTCCGATGTATTAGTATCATGCGAAAATCTAGTTCAACGGTAACAGGTAAGCCAAGCCGAAACTTTAATGTTCGAATCTACTCATCGCCGGAATCAAAAAAATGTTCAAAGTCATTCAAGGAAAAACAAAGCCCGTTTTCGTTGAGGATAAATGCGCATTCATCGAATGCGTTCTCCGTTTGCTGTTTGTGTTTTCCATTAAAAAACAACGCGTTAAGACACATTCGAAAAAGTGCGTTTAACTTCTAGTGAAAACATGCGAACTGATAAAAAACCTCGTTTGAACGCAGTTTTCAAGAATTGTTTTTTTTTTGTGGGTATTGATTATTTTCACACGATCACCATCGAAAAGCAATCAAACGTTTTTGCGTCTTGACACGTGTTTTCAAAAATTTTACTCTGTCCGTTATGTGCACTAAGTGGGGGAAAAATTTATGACGTCATTTACAAACAAACCATTAATGTCTTTGCATTTTCTTCGGTTGGCAGTAGAAATGTCGAAAGGAAAAATGTCGAAAGGAAAAATATCGAAAAAATATACATTAAGAAAATGGCTTATTATTCTTGTTAGAAAATCTTGAAATAGAAGAGACGTTCTTTATTTTTTATGCTAACATTAACATATGTTAATAGAAAAAA